ACTTATTTCTACTTTCTCGTACATTTTGTGAATTCAGCTGATGGCAGCAATGCTTTTTACGCGTGCACTCCGTCTTTGCATGTTACGCCGGCTCACTCATCGATAACTTTCGTTAAAAAATGTTTGGGTGCTGTCGGTAGCGCGGTAAACCACTACATCCCCGTTAAATGTTGTTGCCCGCCAATTTTTCTGTTTTTATGTTTAGGTCCACGATTTCTGTCAAGCGGTAGTTGTTCGAGCTCAAAATCATATTTTAACGATCCGTACAACTTTACTTCGACTTTCGTGTCATGGCATGCTTCATGACAGACATACGGTAAGTATTTATTCTGAATATGCTAGAAGTGGTACTAAAGAAAAACTGCAGTCTTTCTCAACTAGATATTCGTCTATAAAAGAGTTTACAAGCGCACGACTAACTAAGGTAGAAGGTACACCTGCTGGTACTCAGAGTACCGTGAGCAATAACCCAATTCATTCACACATCGAGAAATGTTTGCTTCTTCAATCCGCACAGCATTGGCCCTCATTCACAATCTCTACTTAACTCTCTGCGGATGAATATTTGCAACACTTGCTAAAGTCCCTTTTCCTAAGCAGATGAATGTTGACAAATAGTCGTTCCAACCTGCTCTCAGTTGCATGCTCATACTATGCAGTGATACCAATTGCTCCACTATCCATGCTTACAGTTAGTTTCGTTTGATTAACCCGTATAAACCGCTAATTATATTATTTGATTAATTGTTCTAGCTGTAGTCGTTAAATTTGGTTGAATTCTTGGAATAATTTCTAATTCTACGCTACCGGTCCTTGGCAATACAATTTACAATCTGCATTGAGGGACCGGTTTGTGGATGAAGCGCTTTATTTGAGTTTGCTGCTAAAATTTACATTTGTAGTTATCACGACACGAAATATTTCTTACAGTACGAGTAAGCAACTGTTCTATAGCGACCAGATATATGCAATACACACCCTATTCTCAACTACTGTGTAGAATTTGCTTCGTTGATGATAGCCTTGTACTGCAACATATTTCCGTATTTTTAGCTTAAATTCCCTACGTGTATTTGTGAACAAGGTAACTACGCCGTTCTATCAAAAATACATCTTTTAAAATTGCACTGTTTAATTTGTAAGCTTTAATCTAAAGTCAGACATATTTTACTGCCTAGAACACTATTTGCAATAATTTTGGTGTTGTACCATCGCAATGCCCACTCCACAAGCACAGATAATATCAAAATATTTGCAATCTGTTAATTTCTTTTACTTATTAAACCTTTTCGCATTTTCATTCTCCGCATGTGATCCTACACTAGCTAGTGTTAGGATGGTGATTATGAAAGCTAATACCAACAAAAAAAGCAGCTTTTGTGCAAGGTTCATGGTTTGTGTCTGTCCAAAATTCTCATTTAAGATCTTATGTTGACTTTTACAGCGGAAAGTAAAACACGATCAAGTGATGCAACGGAAGTGAGAGTAAAACAAACAAATACGTGTATGTTCTACTTTTTTGTGCTCATAGATATTTAGGAGCTTGAAACTGCAACACGACTTGCACTTGCTTGCAAGCCTTTTACCAACAATAAATATGTGATATAGCGAAATTAGAAGTATAAAATTAGATGATACAAAAAATGATCATAAACATTAATTACGTCTTTTACTCACAAACTCGTGCATTTTATGCGTGTTTGACAAGCGTTTAGGACCAGATGCTGTTCCTCAGCCGTACATTTTGAAAACTATTTTGAAACGAACACTGTAGTATAAAAAGCAGTTTTAATAATTTATGTGCAAAAATCTCACTTGCAATCCAATACTGCTTTTGTTCTTTATTTTGCACATGTCAAAGCGAGCAACAAAACGTAAATGTTTTATTTACTACACCAACCCAATATACCAGAATTAAACATCTCCTAGGCAACGAAATATGATAAACTGTTTTACTTGTCATGAACCCGCACATCAGCTGTAATTACCGTTTATTTGTATGAAATGAAGAACACTCACTAAACAAGCCGTTTACCATCAATCCAGAAGATTTAATTCTTTCGGAACAAGATAGAGAAATTAAATCTGCTTGCCATTTAATCCACACAACAAATGGATCAATTGCAAGAAGTACGCTGTTGGAGGTCTGTGCTAACACAGACCTGCACCTGCTATTCTACGGCCGTGCCATGGAAATGTCTTTAATCGGTAGGGAGTGTTTCACTCTCCCAATATAAAAATACTTTTTCACCTTCTTCTTAACATTCTCATTCTTAACGGCTATGTACTTTTTATGACGTATGTTCAGCGCAACTGTTCGTACAAACCCGTCGTTCAACAGTTTTTTGATGAGCCTTCCAGCAACACCTTCCCTGACACCTAAACGCTTACCAAGCCATCGTATGCCGAGTATCTCCTCGTTGTAGTTTACGGATAAAGCTCTTCTATAAAGCGCCAGTTTTGAAATGTTATTGTCAAGGCAAATATTACATGTGTAGAACTGAGGGATCCGCTTGTCGTTGTTGGAGAAGAATCCGCAGCATACCGTGTGTGACCAGGCATTGCATTTGTCACATTGAAGCATATCAAGATCACTGTGATTTATTCTGCATATGCAGTTAACAACGGAGGTAGTTCTTGATCCGGTGTGATTTACTTTCGGACAAAACTCAGCTGCACTGATCACATCCGCTCTGCCTGTAGAACCGATGTTAAGTTCCTTTCCCATCGCATCTGAATAGCCACTTTGCAGTTTGTTCTCTGTTGAACTGCAAACTTTTTTGCTTTCATCTACACAAACACCCACATTTTTTTCCGTCTTGACTTGCACAATTCTCTTCGTTTCTGTACTACCCTCGGTATTTTTGCGTTCACTTGCACTGTTTTCAATTGTTGATAGTCTGAGTTTTTCTCTTACATCCTCATTTCTAAGTTTGAAGTCTCCTAAAGCCTTATCATTGGTAACTCCGCGCTCGTTCCACACACCGATTGTGCTACTTGTACCTTCACCTCGTTCATTTTCCAATCCTTCGTTTCCTCCTTCTTTATTTATCTCCATTCTACTCTCTGTTTGTATGTCTTCCTTCATTAATATCTTATTTCCTTTCATTACGTACTCATAATCGGCTCGTTTGAATCCCTCTGGTTCGTACTCCTCCGGGCATTTCTCATTGTAAACTAATCTCATTGACAAGTACCTCCTGCTCGGCAGTGGCGCAAGCATTTTAAGAACATCAGAAATGTCCTTATCAGGTCTTTGCTCGCCAAGCTTTCCTGTAACGGTAATCGTGTAAGATTCCAGGATTACATCTGGTCGGTTTTTTTCCGTGTAAACGGTCAAAACGATCTGGTGGAGGTAATTCATAGAGAGTGCATCCCTGATACCATTGTTAAGCCAGCACAGAAAGCGATTTCGTGGTCCAGGATTGGTGGAAGGAAAAATCTTGCGCTGAGCGGTTATGTGAAGAAGAATGGATTTAAGCGACTGCAGCTGCAAAGTTTCTTGTTCCTGCATGATTTTTAATGCTTTTCTTTTTTTATATAGACTTTGCATAAATATTTATGCAATGCTCTGCTCCAGCGAAAGCACTTCTGCTGCTCCAACCGAGGTACGTTCTCAAAGCACGATATAGCGTAAACGCCTTTTAAACTAGCAGTTTGTGTGCGGCAACCTCATTCAGCGTTACAAACGCCGTAAATGATCATTCAATCTGGCATCATCACATTTTTGGTGTAGGTACGATTCCACGATCCTACTTAGTGCGCTGTACACGAATCACAGGATGTTTATTTGAACCGTTCGTAAGAGATCGCAGTTCTCACATCAAAAAAGCGGTACCTTTTTCTTAGTACCAGCGCTAACTTCATACTCAGCGCTTCACACATCCTCATAGATCAGGCCATATGCTAATACCTTAGAGAACGGCATGCACTCTCTGTTCAATACCATCGCTAAAGTATTTTATGTTGATGAGGCATGGCAATGACAACACAACGTTCTAGCGTATCTGCATGGCACCGTTAAGCGAGATGTAACGTATCGCCTGCCTTTTATCACCGATCTAAGGAGCGCAATCTGTGGTCCTTGTTAGGTACGCGCTTGTGCTAGGCATTCGCTGTCCAGATGATTTTTACTGGGCAAACATATTTTGAACACTCAGGTAGATCTCGCCATTGAACGTTGAAAAGGCAAAGCATTTTTACTTTGCTACTGCTGCGCTCATGCCATAAGAACAGAATAACACACATGAAAATAATTGAGATGAATTGTTGTGATGGAGGACCGCACACTCAAAGTTGAGCAAAAATGCATCATTATCGGAGCATAAGACCATAAAAGTGGCAAAAGCACCAGATAAGACCAACACATCCGTAATACACACCATATTAGCATGTTATAATCCATAAACCGTTTAATGAGCCTTACTACCGATTTCTGCCCGCTTCAATTCCTCATCCATGAACGCACCAATAATTTTATCCTTTACGCATTCTGAGCAGAGCACGCCCCCGTACACCCTGTTGACGGTTCTGTGGTGTTTCTTCATTCTGCTGAAATCCGCGCTTCTAGCCATTTTAATTCCCAAAAGCTTTCTGTGGCATGCGCCACATTTGGGCAACTTACCACGCTTCTTAATATTATGCAGGACGAGGTTCTTTCCCGGCGTTCTCACCTTTACCATCCTATTTGAACGCGTTTTGTACGTGTGATGCGAAGGGATTGTCTGCCTTTGTACCATTTCGGGGGATCAGAAATAAAAAAATTTATGACCTCAGAAATAACGAGAAAAACTTCCACGGATTTATCACAAAAACGAACAAAAGACCGCTTGGTAGCAAAATGTTTTGCAACAGAAAGCAAGTAATTCAATTATTTTTGCTTTGTACCACTTTATTTGCCCAATTATTTCAAATTATACAAAATTTTTAAAAATACCAAACTATCACGTCTGCCACGAGAAAGGAGTGCTTTACGCTATGCCAGCAATCGTTGCACCTTTAATATTTGAGTGCATGTATTGATGTGGTGAGTTGAGCGTATACTGAGCAACAGCAAGCCCTTGTATGGTGAGCAAACGGCACGAATTAACGCACATTCTGAACACAGAGCAGATAAAGAAGCGAGTTGTCTATTCTAATGGATGCACCAGCTTTTTGTGCATAGCTCTACCGTAACATTCGGCAATAATTAGTAATTCACAGTTACTTACCTTGAATTCGGTAGGTGAGTGGCTTAACTGCTGTGTGGTGGCGAGACAAGAAAGGTAAAAGCGCTTTTTTACTCCCACTCATGAACCGGCACGCCACTCTACCTCATCTCTACGAAAAAACCATCGTTATTTTTGCAATTCTCAAGCTCATAGACATCGATACCGTAGCAGTAGCACATCAATGGCACAGTGACAAAGCTGTAACTCTTCGTGTTGCACACATAAACTATTTTTACATCTTTGATCTTCCGTACCAGCTCGTTGTAATCCATAAATACTAAGCAGTGCTTCCCTGGTAATTTCACTTTTTTTATCTGGTGCAGGGTAGAATTGAGGACTGGCTTGGTGAATGCTTTTGGCATAGTACGATGGGGTAGGTGCTAAAAATAGGAAATACCGTGATGTGTGGCGGTAAAATAGGTTTGATGTTCCTTAGCACGAGCAAATAAACACAAATCTAACATTCTGCTGTCTAAGCCTTGTAAGCAATGATAATTGAATCGTTTTACTGCGGGTACTTGCTATAAATGACATGTAGCGAGGGCCTCAAGACAAAGTTCATAAGGGGGTGAGTAGGGGCAGCAATGCGTGAGGATCAGCGGCAAAGGCAGACTCACACGTTGCCTTATCGGCCCAGCGAATGTACGTGGGTGTGAGTTTGGTAGAAGCGGTTTGTGCGGAAATTTGTAGTTTTTAAGTGCTGTGCAAAGCTGATATAGAGCACTCAAGGAGCGAGAAACGTATTTGTAGTGATAGGTGTTGATCAGAGACGGTATTGAAGATTTTGTGCCTTAAATCCTTGAGATTGGTCCTCAACAACGAGCAGTGATAACGATGATTTTTCTGAGGCCCTAGCGTGTTGTTCATCCATTCAAATATCATTCGTGCAAAGATAAGGTAAAAATCAAATGGTAAAAGATTTTAATCGGAGTGGATCAGTGATACATATTTGGTAGAGTTGGTACGTGCGAAATGGTGTTGAATGGTTGCTGCCAGGAACATAAAAATCGTGCACGAAAATACGTAAGTCGAGAAAGGCTATCTGTTCACCACAAAAAATTGCGCTGAGCCGTTTCATCCCTATTGAAGAATAAATGGGGATCAAGTGTGCCTCAGCCAAGCAATTTGTGTATGAAGTTTCTTACTAAGCGGTATAGACGTGTTTGCTGGCAGCTTCGGCAAGCAAAGCGAATCATTTATTTTATTGAGATGAGCGGATTGATTGTTCAGGACTAATCGCTAGAAACGGAAAAATGAACATAAAATGTTATAGCAGTACCGATTAGAAGAAAGATCGGCAACGAAGCGATACGATCGCTCCACAATGAAAATCCGTTCTATCAAAACTCATTTTACCGACCAGGCCGTATTTCACGAAATACCGCTCAGTACCACCACCGCCCTGTCAATCACGGTTGCTGTGCTGTAACATCGTACTTCAGCACATCGTGGTACACCCCGTCATCGTAGTTCACGTTGTTAACGAACCGCAGCCAATTGCTGAAGTCGCCCACCGGGTCGACCTGTCCATCAACGCACTCGTTCACGTACTGGCACAGGTTTCTCTCAAAATTCGTGCCTATCCGCTTCACCTTCGTGCGTGCCACCATCCCCAGCAGCACGTCCTTGATCTTCTCCCTCAGAATTACGTTATTGACGTACATAATGCCGCTGGTGGTCGTGCACTCGCTGTTTCCGTTGTACACTCCCCTGTTCAGATCAAGGTAGTTGTAGAAGTTGTCGCAGTAGATGATGAACAGCTTGTTGTACCTTGTTCTGAAGCGCTTGCGCTCGTCGATGCTCTTCATGAACGTGTTTATCGGTGACGGGTGTCCGCAGTCGAGAAACTGGGCAAGGTTGATTGTGGACTGCAGGCTCAGCTGCAGCTGCACGCCGTACCCGATGAGGATCGCGTTGACCTCGTTGAACACCTGGCCCAGGAAGTTGGATGCCTTTGTGTACGCGCTGATTGCAGGGATCATGTCGGACTCGAAGGCAATGGCCTGCACCGTGTCGGTGTCAAGGTATGTGAGTATGGGCAGTCTGTACATGCCTTCGCGGTTGCACTGCGAGAGTACCATGGAAACGAATAGGAACATGCCGCGGACTGCCCGGGTTTCTATTTATTTGTTGCGGTTTTGATTTTGTTTTGGATTTTGCGCTGGGCGGAGCAGAGGACTCGACACGGGCCGGTGTTGCTGTGCGTATCACGTGGTGCGGTCGTGTCTGGTGGCGTGCGCCTACAGACTGAGGCACTGGTCTGTGGGGAGTGCGCGCATCCGGAAGACGGTCATGTGGCAAGGGCCGTGTGGTGATGAGCTGTCACCTTCTCGGTGGCACGGTTCGAGCCAGCAATCTGCTGATCGGGACAGAACAAGCCGAGAAGTGCGGTGAGTCATCAGAACCGCTGAACAGTGTCAATGACCGTTCGCAGACACAGAGCACGCGAATCGCTGCAGTGCGGCGAGCGTGCTCCGTTCCGGTCCTGTGCCTGAACACGGTCTGAGCACTATTTAAGCAGAATGCATGGCAATGCAGACAGCATGAAGAAAACACCGTCTCTGAACGAAAGGCTCTCAAAAACCTTCTCATCGCTCAAACAGGCAATGACATCCCTGAACCTGCACAGAAACGATCAGCTCACGGACAAAATAAGGACGGAGTACTTCACCGATGTGCGCTATGGAAAGATGATACGGATGATGGATGAGTGTGTGGCAGAGATGGAGCAAATGGTGGGGGACATGAGAGGAATGAGAGAGAAGTTTGTTCTGGCGAGGGGCGTGCTCAGGAGCGGGGATGCACGGGCAGAGGGGAGCAGGCACCCGACAGAAACGGGAGGTGTAGCACATAGTGGGGGACATGGGAAGAGAACGAACGAAGGCCAGCCAAAGAGGAGGAGACGGGTGGTGATGAGGCGAAAGGGCAGAGAGCTGAGAGAAAGAAACCCAAACATAAAATAGCACAGTATGAATTAATCGCACAGCATCTGCTTCTATGGCAACGCATGGTTTGTTATAAACGATTTGTTGCGGGTGCGTCTCTTACGCCCATGCCTGGCCAAGGCCGGCGTGCATGCTGGCGGTTTGCTTCTTCCTGCCGGTCGGTCTTCACAGTGTTCGCAGCCGTGCCTCTCGCGTTCTACCGATACTGCTGCAGCACGGGCTGGCACTTCCTCACCCATCTGTTCGCCGCATCATCTGTGACAGCACAATTTTCGTGTGAGCATCGCTGACCGACACGTCGTGTTAATGAGTGATGGGCACAGCGCGTTTTACTACGTTGCAGGAGTGTGCCGGTAGCTGCAGCTAAAAACATGGCAGGTCTGTTTTACTCGCGGGCCGTGCCTGCAACACCCCTTCTCCGCGGTCAGACCGTCTTATTTCGCACATCGTTGACCACCCCCATGCAGCAGTACTTCCCACAGCCACCGAAGAAGGCGTACAGAGACAGAACGTTCACGGGCACAGACGAGCAGTACGAGAAGCTTCTATCGACAACATGCACGCTGTACATCGGGAACCTGCCGCTTTCGACGACGGAGGAGCGTTTGTGGACGGTTTTTGGCGACGTGCCTGTGCGCCGTGTGATAATGGGCGTGAACAGGAACAACCGGCTGTTCTGCGGGTTCGCATTTGTTGAGTTCTACAGCCATGCCAACTGTGCCAGGGCGTGTGTGGCAAGCGCAAGCATGGTGATCGATGGAAAAAGCGTGTGGGTAGACATGGACTACGGATTTGCAGAGGGAAGACAGTGGGGACGAGGGTTTGCGGGCGGCAGTTTCAAAGGCGACATGAGGAAGCGGGGACGGATGAAGACGAGCGGAGGGCGGTACCACGAGGGCGCGAGAAAACGATCCGATGAGGAGGGACAGAGACGGCGTATCGAGAGCAGAAAAGGAGGAGAGCCGTTCGATGAGCGGAAGAGGAGGGCGGATGAAGAAAGAGGTGGGCAGTGCTATGACGAGGGCAAGCGCAGAAGGCGCTAGTGGCCTGGTCGCAGCAGTAGCATGGCGTGAGCACCATGCAAGGCCCGAACACTCTGCGGTAAACGCAGCCTGTCTGGTGTTTTTGCTGTCTGCTGCGAGGTATTAAACCTGTTTTACACATCTTCCACGTTTCGACCGGGTGATGAGGTTTGCACCAGTGCCCGATTGTTGCCGAGTCTCGGCTTTTCTTTGGGCGGTTCTTCGCGATCACTGCAACGGTGTCCGAATGCTGCTGTAAGCAAACGGCGTGCTGCAAGGTTCCTGGTGCACAGCACTGCTTGGTAGGCCGCGTCTCGAGGCATTCACAGCAGGTCTGAAGATGAGCACATCCCAGATTGGTCTGCCGTTGAGAGCAGGCGTGCGCACCTGTTCAGAGCATGCAAGCAACACCTGGGAGGAGTCAACCGAAGCATTCGCGCAGCAAATGCTTGCAGTGCTCGTGCACCTGCCAGGTACCACGTCATAGTGCGCACTGTTCGGTATCAAAGCTGCGGCACGCAGGTGAAAGGCCCAAGGCGAACAACAGACGGTCCTTAGAACGAATTTTGTGTTGAGGAGTGTGCGTGGCAGGGAGACATCCTGCACCGTACCGATTGCAGACAGGGAATGAGCACACCACAGCGCACGGTCATGAACACGTGCTCAAATCTAGCAGCGTACTTTACGCAATTAGTACTGCGCTGGGATCGCAGGTGCGGATCATTCGTTGTGCAATTCATTAATTTTTCATGAGCAGCGCACATTCTCAGAGGAACAACACCGGCCCAACCGACTGAACTTGAACAAATTTTGCTATGCGCCGTACTTCGGTGCGGTTCGCTGTGATGAGCCTTTGATGCCAATCGTTGTGAATAAAGAGCATGAAATGCATGCTTAGACACCGTGGTAATAGCGCTGCGATCACCGTAGCAACGCGAAACCTCCACCAAGTAAAGCGCTCATCACAAACATGGCAATCTCTACAACCAGCAGAAGCGTGGAAATGCAATTGTGCTACGGATGAAGCAGCTCTTCCTTTCGTTCGGCGTGTTTAAATGCCGTTGCTTCGCTACAAGCATTGCTGAATGCCTGTACCTGGCCGTATATGACAGAATAAATGTGTAAACGGATGCTTGGCGATGAGCAGGAAGAACACCTCGTCCATGATTGGTTGATGCGGTCAGTCTCAGCGAGCTAGAAGGGTGTGCTGTTCTGGTGCTGTGATGGGGAGGTAAACGTATTTTTGGTGAAGAACGGCGCGTCTTGTTTTGTTCGGCCGGGCCAGACGGTCAGCGCCTTGGTACTTTCTCTGAATCGTAGGGTGCTTTGTGCTGGTAGCGAGTTAAGTGCTGAATTCTGGGTCGCCTGGGAAAACTTACGGTACCTGCAAATATCTGATCAGAAAGCTTGCAGGGTGTGTTTTTCTATTCTCTGAGGTCCTTCCAAGTGGTATTCTCATGCGATTCAGCAAAAAACGGTTTAGCATCGTTTCGATGTGCATTTCACTGCCAGCTCCGACTTTGATTCAACCCGTCAGATCGGTGTCTCCATCAACTCGTTGGTATTCTCGAGCCGCCGGTAGAACCTCCGTTTCCGTTCCAACAATCACATTTATGTTCACGTGGTGCTTGTGCGGTTTATTCTTGTGTTTTTGCTCGTAGTGTATTTTACTACGGTGCTGTGGCACCTTTGTACCATCAAATCTGCTCTGTAAAAATACTCTTCACAGCTCTGTGAATTCTTTAACACAGTTCATTGCACTTGAGCTGCTGTTCAAAGATAATATCATGCTTAAACTTCTGTTCTTCAGATTATTACGATATCTTTCCGTTTTTTAGCAGGGATAGTGC